ACGGCTTGCAATAAAGTCTTGGCATGCGGAAAATCAGAACTTATTAGACATTCGCGGACTCAATTACATATTAAAAATACAAGCAAAAGCTGTGATATCACACCATCTGTTTTATTACCAAAAGTTGATAGTAATTCTGATTTGGACCATGTTAATAAAGTCAAAACAGCCGAAATAAAGTTAGCTGCATTTTACGCGGAGCACAATATAGCTTTTTAAACAATTAATCACATGGTCCCTTTATTCAAGGAAACCTGTTCAAATCCGAAGATGGTTAAGGATCTAAAATAGTCACGAACTAAATGTACGCAGATAATAAAAAATGTAATAGGCAAACGCGAAAGCGATAAGCTTATTACAGAATTAAAAATTCAGAAATTTTCAATATTAATTGATGAAAGCACGACTATATGTTTTATATATGTATAATGTTCTTGTTTGAATACTAGTAATGTTTTCTGCAGTTTTTCTTACTCTCGTAACAAATGTTTGTATTCATGTAATAAATCGGCTGCAGATGTACAAAATAATAAAAAAATATATATTCATTTATTTCCATGTAAATATGTTATTTCTTTTAAAAATGTCCTCTTCCTGTAATTTCTACCGTATTTCAATTGTCACGGGGGTCTAACGATACCCCATATTTGAGTGAAGTATATACGTTACTGAGGATTAGGTAGTGCGCATGCGTGGGAAAAATCCCACGTCCTGGCATCACTGGTGGAGCGTGGAGCGTTAGTACCGCTACGGTTTAATGTTGGGTGGTAGGGTGAAACCTTTCGCGAATAAATTGCGAAGGTAAAATTGCACAGATTTCGATAGAGATAGGAACAGTGTGTCTGCGTTCTGACGTCGCTACACAAAATTGACGTGCTCGGATAAGTCGAATTCCTCGACAAACACGTACATGTTTGGTTTCGGAGGTTATAACTATTGTTTCAGGCATCGACCAGTATGAAGACTTTCTTTGACAAAGCGAAACCAAACGACCTGTGCCCAATTGAATGTCAACATACACAGCTGCTCTTGGTGAGAAAAAATACTGGTGCGAATGCGATCCACGAACATGCCGTTTACCACAGCATCGAGTCGAGAATTAAATTGACATGTTTGGCAGATTGTTATTGTCAAGAGGCCGAGAACACGTGGGCATTTTAACGGCCGTGTGCACATAACCGATAATAATGAAATAAGCATACGTGCAATGTTCCTCGCGTTTTTGATACACTTGAGTTCTTTGGTTCTTGAATTAACGTTTTCTCCCAACACATTGCTCCTGGCATTAGAGTAGAGTGTAAACGTGGATTACATGTTTTTGAGTATCATTGAACAGGGTAAAGATATATGAGGCAAAAGTTAAGGATAATTATGAGATTACTAAAATTGATAACAATGATTTGTAGTCAATGAGTACAGAACAATGTATACCTTAATCAAAGCTGTGAGTTTCTGTGTTATTTATAGAACAAGTGGTGTTATATGTATATATTACAAAATGACAGAGATTAACAAGTGTATATTTATTTTTTCAGATACTCCAATACCTTTATAGTGTTTTTGAATATCTGTTTTTGAAGAGGTCATTTAATGTAATAGCAAGTAACATGTTGTTTTATATGTATATGTGATTGCATTCAAGGAAAATTCTTATAAAAATGTCAGTTGCCTCTTGTTCCAAAAGTAGAAGAATGGATAATGTAAATAATAAAGAAGAGAGAATATATGAGAAATGGGAACGTTTACACAATTGGCTACATTGTATATGCATTGTTACATTTGATCTTGAATTGGGTCAAGCTATAGAGGTATATTATATTTGATGTTTTTTAATTCTTAGACTGCATATGTTTACACAGTTCTGCATTGTAGTAAATTAATTTTCAAAAACCAGAGAAGAACATAATCTGAATTTCTTCATTGATGATTTTAATAGGTTGAAAATAAAATAATAACTTGATTAAACATTATTCAAAGACCCTATTTATTTTGCATTCAAACATGCTATAAGTGCAAAAGTACACAGTTTAGTATTTATATTGTCTATGATACTACTTTTAAATAATATATCTTCTATTTCACAGGCTATATATCCTGGTCATATCACGTTATCTGAACAAGAGAAATCTAATGTCTGTTATCTGGCTTTTCCTGATTCTAACTCTGGCTGCATGGGAGATACTCAGTATCATGTCAGGATAAGACAGAATGGAGCTACAGTTCAAGAGACTAAAGCTTTAAAAGAGTACGACAGGAGGTCACCTCCATTTTTACAATGCGATAAAGACTATTACTGGGGATATGTGTACTTCCGTCAAGTAAAAGACAAGTCCCTTCCAAGAGGATATTTCCAAACGCGCGAGCGCTTACCCCCTCCATGCCTCCCGTGGGTATTTTACACAAGCATATTGTAGCCTGTCCGTGTGAGCTCTGCCCCCACTACGTCCTACTCGGCGACTCACCACACAGGCGTTTTCTACCTCTGTCCGTGTGCGCTCTGCTTCGGGTGTTCTCGGTAAAAGTCTACGTCACGCGTTTACGACGCGACGGCCGAGTGGCCCAAGCCAGGTCAAAATCCCGTATCCCAAGCAATCTAAACGCCGAGAGTCGAGAGCAGCATGAATTCTCTAACGCCCTCATGACGAGGGACCCCGTCCATAACCCCGTTCGAATCCCGATGCGACGCTTTTACTTTTTATTCTTAATTATTGTGTAATTTTAGTTTGTAATTTGCCAGTAAAATAAAAGGTTCAAAAATATTAATTGAAGAAGCATTTTACAAAAATGGGAGATGTATTTATTACTCCTTAATATTTAAATTTTATATTACACAAATACATATTCTCTTATATATACTATTGACAAATTATTCTTACAATTAGATGT